GACCGCCAGTGGGCGCAGATAGATAGAATATGATAGATTCGGTACCAAATGATACCATATGGGTTTGAAAAAGCAGACTTTTAATTGTTAAATTTTAAAAATCGATGGTCTTAGTTCATGCACCAAAAGCAGCAAGTTGCAAATGTGGCAGTTACGAATTTAGACGAATCTTTGCACTGATATACAAGTGAAAAATTGCAATTGTGAGCTTTCAAAACAGCAAAGACATAACTGTATAACGAAAGAGTAAAGCATTACCCGCAAAATGCACAGACTTCTTTTTTGCTGAATGCGACTCAAATGCTTCACGCCATTTGATTCGTTCCTTCACAGGCAATTGATCTTCATTTACGTCAGTTAAAATCTGAAAATTTTTTTCAACATAACTACGACAAGACACACCGGGATACCTCTTCGTGATATCTTAAACATGATCGCAATTGCAACGGTGGTGGAGCTGAAATTTTTGAAAAATTCAAAGGACTTTAAGAAACTGATAGAAGGTTGGTCAAGAGCATATAGTGACAAACTTGTTTCCATTGGCTTTTGCTCGACAAATCCGTCTCTTTCTACCGCCCTTCGCTTTAAAGGCAAGTCTGGAATTTTAAAAAATAGGTCAAGGAAAACTTATAATACAGGATTGTGAGTTGTTAGCAGAGGTCCCACCTAAGATGTCAAGTACATCTAGCGGACGTTTCTCTCCTACAACCGCATTATCGTCATCTGCAAAAAGGAACAATGAGGAATTTGCGCAGGGTACAGGACGCTGCACTGCTGCAAAACGAAAAATCTTTCTGAAGAATGACAGTACCTGGAAATATGTCTTCGGACCAATCGAACACTGAAAAATCCATTTTAGTCGAATACAGAGACAAACAATAAGAACGAGTAATCTCACATATTTCATGCTTTTTTTCATCTCCATCCGCGCTCTCACTTTGGGTCGTGTCGACTGCTTGAAATTTTAGTTTTGGTTGCATAGCTTTTTTGACTCAATGTTACATTTGATAATGTTGCATATTTCATTCAAAATTACCTTCTACATCCTCACTCTCTAGAATTTCGTCATTACCCATTTCTCCCTCATCTGACCAAGGTAGTTCTATGAGCGGTCCGTCTTCGCTAGAATTATTAACATTAAAACTGCAAAAGTTTAGCCATAGCCAGACTACCTGAAATCATGGCGGGGAGGACTCGATGCTCTGACACGCTCGTAAGGTTTCGTATGAATGCTCATGGCTGCGATCATATCAGACACACATATTGCTACTAAAACATACCATTAAAATATTTGGGAATTGCAAAAACAGACGGACCATAATAAAAATAAATTACCTTGTTCTGCATTGATTTCCACCTTCAGTTCCTTCATTTTTTTAATCAGCTCATTCTCAATTTCAATT